GCAAATGGGTTGTTGTGGTTGATTAATAGGTTCTTGGAGATAAGTCCAGAAGGAAAGGTGCCTGTGGTGAAGTTTGATGACAAATGGGTGCCTGACTCTGATGTTATTGTTGGAATTCTTGAAGAGAAGTACCCTGAGCCTTCTCTCGTCACTCCACCTGAATTTGCCTCTCTGTATGCGCCTCTCTCCTCAAACACCTATACATATTGTCTTCCATTTCCCGCTTCCTTCCTCCCTTTGACTAATCTGTGTTGCCTTTGCTGCGTTATTTATTATTTTTTTGGTTGACTTAAAGTACAGTAAAATGTCAATTTTTGAGCCTTTTGTGTCTTTAATGATGCAGTAGAAAGCACTGGTTTTTTGTATGTTGTTGTGCTTTCTTATAACATATGTCCATCTCTTTGCTGTGCCTGCCTATGAGCTGGGCCTGCAAATGTCTGATAACCTTGATTTTTTTTTCCCCCTTTTCAGTGGAATGTGATGTCGAGATTATTATCTTTGTGTGGTTTTTGTTTCCCTGTGATTGGCCTATGTGACTTTACTGGCTTATGTTTTAGGGAGAAAGTTCTCAACTTTTGGTCCAAAAACATACATTGCTTTTGTTCCTAGAATCATTTATTTGCTAAAAGAAGCGTCCCTAGAGGATTGTTCTCTGAATCATTTCCATTCGATTTCTCATTTACTATTCAGTTTGTGTAATGCAGAGGATAAAAAATATTTGGTGCTTTTGTTAAGTTTGTCAAGAGCAAGGAACCCAACGATGGGTCTGAGCAGGCTTTGCTAGATGAACTGAAGGCCTTGGATGATCATCTCAAGGGACATGTAAGTGACTATAAATTTGAAGCAGCAAAACTGTTGGTTGACACTTCGAGTTCATCATAGGTTTTTTTATTGTTTCTTTTTCTGTTGAAACTCCCACTAATTTATTGCTACATGCATCAAGGTGTAGGCATTTTATTAATAAGAAATACTGCTGTAGAGAAACTATCAACCCAGTAATGGGGTGGCATATTAGCACGAATTAACATGGTCAAACCTGTCTCGAGTCTCGACCATATGTCGATGTTTTCTTTCTGCAACCCCATTCTGTTCCGGAGTGCCAGGGCAGGATACCTGTAATTTAATGCCACAAGCTGCTAGATGATTAATGAAAGCCTTACTTGAGAACTCACCACCACCATTGCATTGAAAAATTTTGATGTTTTCGTCAAATTGTGTTGCTATCATCTTTTGAAATTTCTGAAAAACATCAAAGAAGTCAAACTTCTTATGCAGAGGATAAAACCAAGTAAACCTGCTGAAATCATCCACATAAATCACATAATAAACAAACTGGTTAGTAGATTGAACTGGAGAAGGCCCCCACAAATCACAATGAACTTTTTGAAACAAAGCCACTGCTCTTTCATTATTTTTATTAAAAGGAAGCTTACAACTCTTCCCCATTTGACAACTAGAGCATAAGTGAGAGGGCTTAGTCCATTTTGATACTACAATATTATTTTTCATGACTAAAGCTTTTAGCACATTAGAATTAGGGTGTCCTAATCTTTGATGCCAAATGGAATCTGTAGCTTTATTTGAAATTGCTGCAAGGGCATGCTTCTCTTCTTCTTCCAGTGCATAAAGTTGTCTTTTCCTAATTCCTTTGGCCACCACTGCTTGTGTTACTTGGTCCTTGATCACAAAACCATTAGATGAGAACTCAAACACACAAGGATTTTCATCAGTAAACTTACTAACAGATAACAGAATTTTCTTGAGTTCAGGAATAACAAGTACATCATTAAGATTTAAGGAACCAATAGATGCTGAACCAATATGAGAAATATGAAGTGGAGTTCCATCACATGTAAAAACTTTTTGGTTTCCATTATATTGTCTTTTAGTATAGAGATTACCTGGATTAGAGGTCATATGATCAGTGGCACCAGTATCAATATAGGTACTTTTGTCTGTGTCATCCATTATGGTAAGTGCAGCCAATGCTTGAGGAATTTCTTCACTTTGGTAGGCCGTAGCCATGGTCAAATCGATACCAGCACTTTAAAGCATTATGTCCAGCAATTTTGCATATTTGGCACACGCTTTCATCTTTCTGAGGTAAGCTTTTCTGTTGGTATTTCTGTGACATGGTTTGCTGTGGAGTTGGGTTGTTGTTGGCTATACTATTTCTGTTGTTGCTGGACCAATTATGATTGTAGTTGCTAGCCTGAACAAACCCTCTACCTCTGGAGCTAAAGTTTCTGCCACCATATCCTCTACCACGTTGACCTCTCCCCCTTTGTGCAACAAACACTTGAGCATATGCTGAAGTTTTATCCTTGTTTTCCTGCTCTGCTGCCTGCAGCTCCCTTTCATTATTTTGCAGCCCTGTAATATATTGGTTGAAAGTAGGATATGGCCCTTTTGACAACATTGCTAGATTGTAAGGTTGATAGCGTGTTCCTACAACCCTGGACAGCTGAAACACCTTGTCCAAGTCATCCACGGGCTTGCAGATTGCAGCCAAGCTATCGCAGGTTCCTTTGAACTTCCTTATGAAATTTTCAAGAGATTCACCATCTCCTTGCTTCATTGTTAACTGCCCCTTAAGGTGAATTTCTTGTTCCTTAGTAGAGGCAAGGTAATGATCTTCAAGACACCTCCAGATTTGGCTAGTTGTATCACAGCCAACAACTAAACTCAGTGCTTCTTCATTCATGGTTCAAAGTAACCAGCTGGTGAGCAATCCATCATTGTTTAACCAGACCTCATAATCTGGATTTGTTTCTTCTTTTCCATTCCTTGTGATATTCATTGCAGGTGCCTCCTCTTCAAGGTGATTCATGAGTTGAGCACTCCGGATTAACAAAAAGACCTGAGATTTCCAAAGTAAAAAGTTGGTGTTTGAGAGCTTAACCGAGATTAAGCTTGCCATTTGATGGAAGCTTTGAATGGTAAGCTTAGTCTTGTTCTTTGACATTGTTTGATTTGATGAAACTGTTTCGAACCAGAATATGAGGAAGTATGAAAGATGGAAGAAAGTTTCAAATGTAGCAGAAGGAAATAGACTATAGTATTCAGATGCAGATGTTATTCTGCTCTGATACCATGAAGAAGAACAAAACCAAATGAGAATATTGAAACTGTATTGATTATATTAATCTGTACAAGACTTGTGTATATATATATAGCTATAGAAGCATAATTACAGGGATATATTTAGAACCTAGAATTTTGCCTAAGATCATGGAAATGCCTGTTGCACCAATTCTTCCTTGTACTGTGCTTTGGTTTTTAATTGCCTTAGATACTTTCCCTTTTTCTTTTACTGGTTGTTTCCTCTGTTGGCTAAGGTCCTGATTCTTTGCTTGTTAATTTTGTACTTGATTCAACTTCCTTCACAGGTTGCAAGTTGCCAGCAACTTTGCAATGTTGGCTTTTATTATTGGGGTTTTCTAACTTTTTGTGGTTAGGAGTATAA